TCCTCCTCCTCCTCCTCCTCATCATCATCATCATCATCATCATCATTAGCAACAGATGCAGCCGTGACAATAGCAGCAGCAACAGCAACAACAACAGCAACAACAACAACAACAACAAAAACGTAACAAGTTACCCCCCCCACCACCACCAACAACAGCAATAGCAACAACAGCTACAACAACATTACTAACCCTTTCTATTGATAGTGCAGACAACGTGAAATGATAATTATTTGCTCCAGGGCTCATGAAGTCACTGGTCATAAAATACCTCTTTGTAAACTTTTTAAAAACTACATCTTAACAAAAAAATAATATCAAATTCGGAGCCAACGTACCAGAATCAAGAAAATGACTCGCGGATGACTCTTTCTTGATGGATTTTGAAGATCTAAAAAAAAAAGTATTTTTGCTGAGATCGCGTCATTTGTCTTATCACAAAGAGGACGGACCACTGCTCAGCTTTAGGCCTAACTGAACGTGTAATACAACACAGGATTCAAAACTCATAGAACGGGCACTGTACCACGTGACCTGTGAGGAATTGAAGACCGAAAACAATGGCGTAGTGAGGGCAAGATTTATCATTTTCGGAAGTAACCCTATAGCTTTTAAAGCAAGAGCGGCTTTTACAAACGAGTGAAAAGGGGAACATTTAATGTCTTGTTTGTAATTTTGAGTTTCAGAATTCACTGTGCAACCTGGAGATTGGAATTATTGTTTTAAATTGTTGTGTTTTCGGGTGCAACAACAGAAAAAGCAGCCATAGATTGAGTAGTAAATATTATAAGATATATAGAACTGTGAAAAAAATCGTAACCCTGATGGGATTGTTCACAGCACTTCCAGCTTCCCCCACACATTTTGCATACACATATGGTCTATGTCATTTTTTTAGTCGCAAAATTTGTTACAAGAAATTGTTTTTTTCACTAAATCTAATTAATGTTCTCAAAAGTATTTTATTAAAGAATTTTCTTTAAATACATTTCTAGAATAATATATGAGTACAAATGTTTGAGAGAAATACTCATCTGTTAATTAAGACGAATTGATATAGTATATATTATTTAGATCTGAGTCATTGTGCAAAAGTAGGAGAATCTAGATCTATGTTCGATAGTTCAGTAGTCTAGATATTTACTAATAAGTTGCGCCACTAATTTTTGACCCCGCGCTATAGTAGTAGAGATAGCGTATTATTTTCATCCGAGACACTAGTTTCCGCATCCATACGCCTTTTTCGGCCTTTATAAGCACATGTACTTTAATTTGCTTACTGTCATAATAGTTTTTGAAAGCCTTTTCAATTCCTTTCACTTTCAGTTCCCTCGTGCGGGCACGTATTATGATTACTATTTAAGATTTCAGATCTGACGAATGTATTTATTAAATAGCGTATAGTGCTAGGTTAGCCAATGCATTGCAATGCGCGCTATTATCAATTATTGAATTGTAACAGGACTTCGATTTGATCCGTAAGAAGAGACCACTTGTTTTTCCTTACATGCGTTCAAAAATGTGTGGTTGTTTATTGCGTGTGGGCATTAAAGATTAACAATTCCAGATCTGATGAATGTATTTATTAAATAGCATAGGTCCATAGGGCAGGGTTGACCAATGCATTACGATATATACGCGCTTTTATTAATTAATTGAATTGTAACAGGACTTCGATATGATCCTTAACAAGAGACCACTTATTTTTTCTTATACGTGTTCAAAAATGAAAATGTGTGTTTGCTTACTGTGTGCGGGCATTAAAGATTAAAGATTCCAGATCTGACGAATGTATTTTCATTAAATAGCATAGTCCTATAGGGCAGGGTTGGCCAATGCATTTCGACGCGCGCTATTATCAATTATT